AAAAATATAATGTAAAATCGTATTTACGATTAAGAGCGCTAATATAATATTTTACACAACAAAATGTTTTAATATTATATAATTTTTACAACACCAATAAACTCCAAACGTTTGTATATAGACCGTACAAAATAAATATATATAAAATTGTTTTATTTAATTAATTGTTTTATTAGGATAGTTGAGAGGTCGAAGGCGTACAGTAGGGTCGTGGTTCCGAATGAAATTACGTGCATTTTAATGTGCCTTTGTTTCTCTGTATTATTTTTTATTGTCTTGTGTAGGCAGACGAATTACGATGATCCGACCCCTTGTTAAAGGAGGTCTACCGGACATGTGAAACGTTTATACCTTCAAAAATAAATTTTAAACGGAACAGTACATTGGAACTAATCCATGACTGAAGAAAAATAAGTTTGATGTAAATGATCCTCATAGCGAGAAGCGAAAACTTTCATCTGAACCGAAATTAGGCATTCACGTACAGAACTGGCAAATACAGTAACTTGGACTGAAAACATTCCACAAATCAGTACAAACACCCAGGCCTAGTTATCTCGTAAGAAGAGCTATTTTAACATTAATATAAACAACACGTCTTTTGAACCATTTGTAAAAGACATTTTTTATATTTTAATGACTGTGAAGTTCTAGTAAGTATTTTTGTTTGTCTTTATCTTTCCATGAAGCAGATTTTATTAATATTCAAATGAGGAAATTGATATGAAGCAATGTGAAGAAGTTTCCTGGTGGAATTCGATTTCCTACACGTCCATAACAGTTTGGGTTCTACCCAGCCTTCTATTCAGTATATTCAGAAGGCTATTTCCCCTTAGTAATGATACCGAAGCATGAAACTGACTATATGTCGACAAAGGCTAGTGGTTATCTACATTAGGGCGCTGATGTCTGTGTCTGTCTATTAAATAGAATGGCGAAGTCACTAGTCCTCCTTCTTGCCACATATCCATTCGACTTGGTTGCGATATACCTGTCAAACTTTCGGCCTAAGTTTAAAAATATATTTTTATTAACGTCCTTTATACTAATAACGGTTAGAACGCTGGCCTTGTAATCCTGGGGTCTCGGGTTCGATTCCCGGCGGTGCCCGAATTTATAACTTGTGTTGGGCAAGGCCGTGGTCTAGGCAACACGGAGTTTCCCCGGTTTCTCCGTGGCATCCCAACAATTACTCCATTCACACATAGAAGAAGGCAATGGCAAACCACTTCTGGATCATCTGCCAAGAACGTATATGAACAGGTCCCAGTCCGAGAAAAGGATGGAAGGATCCTGTTCATATGGACCTGTCGTAAGACAGAACACTAAATAATAATAATAATACTAATAACACATGTAGCTTTTTTGTGTATTTGCGATAATACGAAAATAAACGACTTAAGATGAACCAGTCTTAATTAGCTGAAATGCTTCAAAATTCGTTGTTAAGACAGCATTTGCACACTTTATTTCTCGTAATATGATGACAACTTCTGGGCACCTCTGAAACGTCTATAAACTTCTACCATATTTCTCGGTGCAACATCCCAGAAGAAATATTTGCTGCGATGTAAAAGTGTTTAATAATTTTTGTAAAGCTTGTGTGTATTTTTTGAAATTTAATATTTTTCTAATTGGTGTATGCATTATATTCAGAGGGGCAAACACACGACTCTGTAGATCAAAATCGGCTAAGTGTTGGAGGCTGAGTCAGACACACAGACTTCGACAGACAAAACAAGCCGGACCGGCTCTTAGATGGGTTGGAAGAATATTGGGGAAACAGACGCCCAGGCGTTCTTTGTTGCAGTCATGAGAAGTGCATTGCACTGCGATCAAGCACAGATATGAATAGGCCACGTGGGAACTGTTAGCACGGCTGGCTGGATACACTTTGGCATAGTTCCACATGGGCATGAGTGCTCGTGCACTCGAGTGGTCCAAACGAGGATGCCCAAAGTATTTGTCCCTTGACAGATGTGGCCGTTGGAAACTGTCATCAGCCCATGATCTCCTTACATGACATTTTAGTGGAGCTACAATTAATTTTTATGCATGATTTGTATGCATAAAGTGGACTTGTAATGTGGAAGTATCACCAACATGTAGATGAAGTATAGAGATGGCGGATCTACAACAAAAATTATGAAGTTAATTTTATTTTTATTTGTACTTCTTTTCTAATATAATGCCTGTTTCAAATGGAATTTATTTTGAATATTAACCTTAAAGAAACACGTAGTATAAAATATTTGTGTGACATCCTCTTGTATGAGATCCTCAGATATCGTATGCATTCTAATTAAATATTAATCAGGGATGTAGTGTCCAATTATTAAATGTGAAGCCAGTATTGGTAATATTACTGGCATTTTAATAAATAAATGAATAAATATAAACATATATTCACGGGAGTGTGTGTTTGCGTGTGTATGACATTAGCAACTGGGACATTAGAACAAAGCTGTATATATGTATCATATACTGAATTGCACTTAATTGTTTGCTTTTAATCTTCCAGGTGGTGCTGGTGTTCATTCTCAGTATCGCATCGCTAATCATCTACTTCATCGATGCCTCCAGGTTAGTAGTACATTGGATCACTTGTTTTAAGTATCCTGTTGAAATGCGTAGTCATAATGAAACTTCACTAACAAAGAGCTGCTCTTGAAATGTGTATGCAAGGAGTGTTCACATTTGACCCAGACATTTTTCTTTTTGTACTGTATAGCTGACACAGTTTATTAATATGATGTCTTGTAATGTAGGCTCTATAAAACCATAATCGATTCACTGCCAGTGAAACACTTATCAGTACAAAAGACGACGTCTACACTTCTTTCTAGTGCAGTGGAACAAGGCATTATTACTAAATCTGTCAGGATGCATAACAGACTTAAAGCACATAATACAGAATGGGAAAAGGAGGGTCACTAGTACGTAGTAAATAAAATGAAGCAGGTCAGTAATTGAAGTCAACAATGAATAAGTAAGATCTGAGGTTTTCACAGCGGTGAGTATGAAGATTTCTGTCTTCTGGGTTGTTAAGCTGTGTAGTCTGGTAGATGTTTACCAACGTTTCAGAGGTCATACATCGACCAGACTACACAGTGCAACAACCCAGAAGACAGAAATCTTCAACAATGAATAATCTCCCACGTTAATGAGCTCAAAGAAATGACAGAAGAAAATTGCCGAGTGAATTAGTATCGAAACTTATCACAGTGCAGACACCACACACTGTGATAACCTGGACTTTGGTAAAGTTAAAATATGACAGACACCCAAACAGTCATTCTGCAATAAAAACACTAAAAATTAAATTTTAGTAGCTGTGAATCAGTGATGTCGTTGGAAAGGGTTAATTTTTAATATAATATTGTAGGTCACGTACATTATTCTTGTAAGCAAATGCTACAATATGAATTGTATGCACAAAAAATACAACTGTACTAGAAAATTAAAGATTGTTACCAGCAAAGAAGGTGAGGAAAGCTATTTCTTGGGAAGTTAAATTTGTTATTCATATAGATATCCTGGAACAAGGCTGTAAAATTAATTACCAATTTCAAATTTTTTGAAAATTAATGTTGGTTATTACTGTGATCTTAAAAAAAGTCTCTGAAACCACCTCTAAGGAAAAAGGAACAAGGTATTCTGTCCAAAGCAGTTCGTGTTCATCACATCATTCATGACTCATGTGAATGAACACAGTAAATCAGGAAGAACATCCCTGCTTATCCACCCCATGACTACTGCATTTTTGCATCCCTGAAAGGGTGCTTAAGAGAAAACAAATTTATATCAAAATATAAAGCGAAGACTTTAGTCCTGAATGATATCAGCATCAACTGAAAGATAGGAAGTTTTTAAAATGTTCAGTTAATTTTAATCTGAAGAAGAGAAACTACTTAAAATTTGACTGTAATATTTTTTCTGTGTTAACTGTGTGTTTCTTAAAGAGCTAAATTCCAGGTCAAATTTGAACACTTACCACCCCCCCTCGCCCCCCAATTCTGAATCTAAACAGGAGCTTGACATTTTTTTGCTACAAATAATAATTTCTATTTCATGGCACATGTTCATTACTCCTTGATCAGATAATGGTACAGCTCTGAAACTTAATAATGTTAAGAATTAAATTTATGCTATGTGCTGTTCAAAACACATTAAGTTCAAACAGTTTAAAATTATGTTTGAGGTTATGTAATTAGTGCTTTCATATTCAATTCACAGAGAAATTGTTTCTGCCATGAAACTCTTAATATGAATAAATTATAGTAATAGATATGGCACAATATACTGTATACAAGTAATTTTAAATATGATACAATTATTGAAGACTTCTTCTGAAGAAATAAATATCCTGCTTGGATTTCTGTGCAGCTCCACAAATAAAATAAACTACTTTTGTAGACAGAATGGAATCAAATAACATTATTGCAACCAGGGCAGACAGAATTAAAATTTAAATCTTGTCTTAACAAAACCTACTCATATATAGCCTCTCTGCATGCTAAAAGAATATTTTTCAATAGGCATTGAAATTCTCAAAATTAAAAGTCAAACATTAAAATCAAGGAACAAAAATAACATATTCTTCAGTTTTCTGTCCACACGTTACTGCGTGTGAATAACTGTGTAGTTGAAGCACCTTTGAACCTACTGCCAACTAACTGAACCTTACACATGAAAATAAATAATCTGTTCATTAAGTTTTTAATATATTTAGACAGAATCCTTCTTAATCGACCCATTATGAATGACAATGCATACTTATATAGCTCTGGTTGTAACAATGTAAGTCGACTCAGGTTTTCATAATTGGAAACTCTTATTTATATTTAGTTATTTTAAATGTTATGCTTCCAAGAATTTTGCTACATTACCTATTTTTATGTGGGTAAACACAATACGGTTTCCTCTTCATTATAAAAATTTAATTACAGTTAATAATAAAATTGTATTCTCCTCTCTTTTCCTTTAATGTAAATTACACATGTAGGAGAGGCTTGGGACTTACGAAACATCTAAAATATGAAATAAAGCATATATTTTTCTCATTGTGTATTCTCCAATCCCAAAACAATTTAAACCACTCATCCATAGAAGCCCACCATCAATGTTTTATTTTATTCCATTCAAAAGTGTGGTGTGGATTCTAGTGTTTTTAACTTTAACTGGAGAAATGCTGGGTGAATAGTAGGAATGATAGAATGATTATAAGTAAAAACTAATGAAATTTTCTGAAAAATTTGTAATGGAGTGATAGCATCTTTTTTCCTAGCAATAAAAGAATGAATTATTGTTAATTTCAGTTTGTGTTGCAACAAATGTATAGATTGATATACTATATGACAGAATAAATTATAAAAACAGATAAATATTTTCTTATGAAACCCTGCTAAGAACTCTGATTTGGCTGTATAAATATAATGAAAATATTGATTTTAACTTGACTTTAATCCTAGTAATGTACTTCTCATATTATGCAGCATATCGGGCGGGAGTGGTAACTCACATAAAAGGTGTGTATTTTCAAATAGATTCCAGTGCACTGAATTACAACACTAAACAGCACTGTCTTGTGTGACTAGGGTTCAGTTCACACCCGAACTTCCATATGTACAGTTCCACTCTTTGTTGTTTAGCATTTGAAATTGGCAAATATATTTTATACTGTGTAAGACTTGAGGTTCTCACAGCGGTGAGTATGAAGATTTCCATCTTCTGGGTTGTTGCGCTGTGTAGTCTGGTCAATGTTAACCAGCGTTTCAGAGGTCATACTGCCTCCGTCATCAGGGCGATGAAGATTTCTGTCTTTTGGGTTGTTGCGCTGTTGCGCTGTGTAGTCTGGTCAACACTGTGCAACAACCCAGAAAACAGAAATCTTCATAATCATCGCCCTGATGACGGAGGCAGTATGACCTCTGAAACGTTGGTTAACATCGACCATACTACACAGCGCAACAACCCAGAAGACGGAAATCTTCATATTTTATACTGTTATAAATTAAAAAAATTATACAATGCAATTTAGAATGTGTGGTAATAAAGCAGATAATTTGTAAACAAAATTACAGTGCCATCTGTTCCTTACATATGTGTTGTCTGTCCTTGAATTGTTTGCACATATAGATTTACTTCTTGTTTTGGACAATGGTTGAAGAAATATTAATTATTTTGCACAGACTTATGTACAGTCTGTCATATTCAATTTCTGTGAACAGAATTTAGTGGTATATTAAGGGACTGTTTAATTTTGATATGGAGAGGTAGTAACTATAAGTGATAGTTAATTATATCAGTTACAGAAGAAACAGACTGGTAGTTATGAAAGTCCAAGAACTGTCAATTTACATGACATCTTTCTAGGCCTAATAAACACAAGCCTAGACTGTGGTTCATATTATAGTGAGAAATTTGTTATTGGCTTTTAAAATTGGTCTAATGAAATTTGTGTTTATTCTTATAATCACTTCAATTTATATTTTCCTACAGTTTTAATAGTTTAACATCCACTTCATGATCTTAAGTTTTCTAATTCACAATTATTTTGAAAATTAATTAACTGGGTACAAGATGGGAAGGCTGGAATTTGTCATCACAGCCTAACTAATTTAATTGACAGATTAGAGAATTGGATTGGTATTTGACATGTGAAGGGAAAAATGGAATACATTGTAGGTGTTTGTCTCTCTCCACTTCCCTTTGTTTTATCTTTAGATAAATATTTTATAAAATATGCAAGTTTTTATGCCAACAGTTGCCTGTATTTACAAAAGATGCCATTTTGAATCCCCAAAATTAGAGACAGCTGGCTGCAGTCATAAGTGTGTATTTGTTTTCTGTCATTAGTCACCAATCACTTGTTACTAATTAATTAAATAGTCTGATATCAACAGTGATCTTGTTTGAAGAAGTTATAGACAAAAGTCTTCCAAAGATCTGCATATTTTTTTAGTTGCATAAAAAAATTAAAGAATAACTCAGGCCAATTTAACACATCTACAAATTTGTTTTCAGATCCTTATTAGAAAGGAATTTAGTTTAGGTGATTCTAGGATACTGTTAAGTCTTTCTTGTGTAGATGAGTACTGAAGTCAGGAGTAGCTTTTGATATCATAGTTTGTCATATGCATATTTGAGATACACATTTTCTAAGTATAGTAATGTACCCTTTGGAAATTTTGTGCACTGATGCTCCATACTTTTCCATGTATATTAAAATGGGATTTAGTTACAAGAAATCCTCAATTTAATTTTATACAAAACATATATAATTATGTCTAACATATCTGGAAGAGGAAGGTAAGAAGTATTTATCCAAATAATGAAGTAACTAAATAATTAAAATGTTATGTGGCAACATTAAATGTCTCAACACTGTCATGGTTTGAACTGTCATCTTGAAGAATTCTCTACACTGTGTTCTGCTTTCCAATACAAAGCACTGTAAATAGTGTTTCTTTGTTTGATGTAAAAATAGCTACAGTAGACTTGTGTTTGCTTATTGCTGCTGTGTTTAATGTTGGCCACACTGATGCTGACATTTTTCACTATGACATACTCAAAGACAATTTTGCAAAGAGACAAGGCTGCAAGTGTGAGGATGTTTTTGTGCAAGGAATTAATGTCTTTCTTGCAACTAGTGGATGACAAGAGTTTTTCATTCTTAAACACAATTTCACATGCCAGCAAGGTATAGTAATGATACTTATTTTAACTCTTATGTTTTATTTTGAAGCATATTTTTACTTATGTCTCATCTTAAATCTTCAAAATCAGTTGTGTTGCAATGTTCTTTAGGCATCTTTGTGTTAGCAGAGGGAAAGAACATCTTGTAGGTTCATTAAATCTGCCTTTCTCTCTGTCTTGGTTTTCTTCTCATCAGCTTTATGTCAGATTTTGAGAAACTTTTGTTTGGGAGAACATTTCTAAAATGTAGTTATTTAAAATATGAATTTGGGCTAATTAATACTTCAAGGTGGGAGAAACTTGCGTTCAGATTATTTCTGTTGAAACTCAGAAAATACTTAATGCTAATTGAAACTTTGTACTTGTTTTCTTTAACACTATATAGTAACTATTACAATTAATCTAGTCAAATTTGGTATTCCAAAGTAATTAATATATATATATGTATATATATGCACACACACACACAAAAATATGTATGGTGATGGTAGGAACATTTGATATTATGTTTTCTATTTCATGACATGATTCATAGGAGTAGATGATACGGAAAGTTATATTTACAAGTTAATATGTACTTGTGATGCTCGATATATAAAGGATTTACATTCCTTTGAGTTGCTTCATATATCAAAAACACATAGAATATTAAATGTATAAATACCCATAGACTTTCTGAGTGATACACCATGAGAGGGTTTAATTTGTAGTCCCTGGAGTCAAAATTGTGGAGTAGGCCAGTAAAACTTCATGTGAAGCTCAGTGGTCCTGTACAGCTGCTTCTATCTTGGCAATGGATAGGATATTTATGTTCCTCATGATACTGAAATAAAACTGTGGATATGCAAAAATGCAGATAGTGGAAGCGTGTATACCAAGTCACCTATGTCACTATTACTATTCTATTAAAATTTAAAATTTTAGTAGACAGCATAAGAGGAGAGAATGTTGTTCAAAGACTTCTTGGTCATTTCTCAGTCCTAATACCTAAACTAACAGATTGTGAATTATTTATCAGGTATTTCAAACACTAAAAGAGCCAGAGCCTTTTCCCAGGATATTAAGCTGGGAAATCAAAATGTACAACTGGAAAGGAATAACTGTAATGATTTGTAATGAAGGGGTTTAAAGCACAGTTAAGGTGCATGGATAGTGTAGCAAAAGCCTTGAAGCATTCTATGCTATATTAGAACATATAGTTGGTGTAGTTTCTTTTTGTTTTGCTTCTAATTAAAGAGTTCCCATATCAATTTTCTGTTAGAAGCCTTGTGACAGAATCTATATATAACACAGACTACCATTGAAGAATTATTTTTGTAATTAATAGGTTATTAAACAGATTATCAAGTTCCATTTGTACTTTGAATTCCTACCTTGGTAACTCCAATTAAAAATTTTCATTTCTAGAACTCATTTAATTAATATAATATTTGAAACTTTCATTTCTAGAACTCATTTAATTAATGTAATATTTAAAATGTGAAATATTATGTCTTAATATTGAAGTCTGTGTTTCTTGACCTTATAGACCATATGAAAGCAAGCTATTGTCATTACTTTGGGATCCCGGAATTCTCTTGCTGCTGAAATTGAATTTATCTGGTTTTAAACATGAACAGTGGAAATAAACCTTTCTCCACCACTTGAAATACTTCATTTCATCACTGAAAATGTTAAAATTAACGTTTTGTCTAAACGCTGCACTTTTTGTGTATTTTTTCTTGTCATCTATTGAAATGTTACAGGACTTAAGAGCACAAATGTAAACTCAGGATAGTGGTTTTTCTTTGTGAAATGACTACTTTATAATTGGTACTGTTTAGGACTATTCAGCAATAATTAACAATGCAATGAAAAGATTAATTAGGCTGTTGCAGTGTATATATTTTGCACTTGAGGATGTAGGACAAGTGTGAAGCAGTCAAATTATCTGCTCAGAATATGACATAAAATTAATTTTTATTAAACATGCAAATTTTGTTTGGTAACAGATAAATTTGCATAATTTCCAGGGTTTTGTTTTAATAAATATATTGAGGACTTTCATTGTTGATGAAAACTAACCTTTATTGTACTATGGGGTGGCTGGCTGGACTTGACTCTGGGGTTAATGGTTTAGCTGTATGCCAATGTGGTGCATGGCTGATGGAGTTTAATACAGTCTGTTGCTGCTATCTTAACCAACAAAGTGAGAATGCCTGTAGCTTGAATGGTTACCTGTTGATGGCAGAGTGTACTTATTTTTCACAATTATTACAAAGCTTTCTTGGAGAGAGAGGGGGGGGGGGAACTAATATTTTAGTTTGTAGGGAGATGCAGTCTTGCAACTTTGCCTTTGGTGTAAAAGTCCATAGGCTCAACACTGACTGTAAACAAGACAGAAAGCTTGGCAAAATAAACTAATCTGAGGATTATCCTGTTCAATTGTAAATACTTATAAACATTCTGAACATTGTCCTGTGACACAGTCAAATGTTGCAACACACGGAATCGTTTGATATGTGATTTAGTGTTCATGGAATTTAGATGTAAATGTCTTCATTTGCCTTCTCAGCACTTGGTATTGACAATTATTTGCACCTCATATGATGTGTTGGAGTGTGAATTAAATTTTAAGTGTAGCACGTCTCTTTCACAAGTTTTGTCAGCACTAAATTGTTCAGTGGCGTGTGAATGAGTATATGATTAATTTCATAAACATATCTTCTTTTTTCATTGAAACAGAGGTACTTTCACTTTGATAATTGTAATTGGTAAACTATTGCAGACCTTCTTAAATTAAAATCAATTTAAAACTTTTTACTCCATTCCATTAACCTTCACTGTTATGAATTGAACAGTTTCACTTGCATAGGAAAGCAGTGATAGACCTTATCTGCCAAGGACAAAGATTACAGAATGCTCAAATATATTTTTTTTTTGAAATTGTAAACATTAATTTTTGAAATCTAAATGATACAAAGTCATGATAAAGACAAAGTGTATTTGTATTTGAAGCAGTGTACTATTGTACAGATATAAGAGTGTTGTAATAGGTGAATACTGATAAAAATATTCCAATGTGACAGTATTTTTTCATGAACAGTGAACTGTGTTACTGTCATGCATTAAGAATAACTTGAATCAAAAAATGATTATTTCATTTGAACTTGTGCAATAGTCATTCAGTCAATGTAAATATGATGCATGATACCTGAAGGTCTTATAACTAGCTGAATGGTCACTGAAATTTCAGTCGAAGGTCTGGCCAGTGGAAGAGTAGACTGTAAAGAAAGATGGTGATGTAATGGACACATGCTGATACACATGAGGGCGGAGATAACATTTTAGAAATGATTTAAAGTAGTATCCTGAATTAATAGATTGATTATAACAGCTTTACCACTTCTTAAAGCTCTTCTGGTAATTTTATTTTTGAATGTGTGAGTGTGTGTGTGTGTGTGTATGTTTCTTTCTCAAACATGGCCCACGAAACTAATTTTGCATTTTCTGAAGTTCTACAACTCCTCTTACTTTGTTCAAATTTTGAATCATGAAGGTACATTGGATTAATCTTCATTACTAGTTATTTCAGCCCAGTAATGAAAATGGTGTTTTATACTTCCATATTGAAATTTTTCATTTATGTTTGTGGTACATGGTGACACAAAAGTAAAGTGCTGTGCTCACATGCCAAAGATTATGGTTCTGAGACTAGATGGATCTAGCATGAAGTTTCCTTGTCATTTCTTCTATCCTCACTGTTAAAATTCTCTGGTGACTGTCATGGCCTTACTTTAGTTCAGAGTCTATTCCAAGCTGTCCATTTCCTTTGCCAAGAGTTGTCTCCTTCATTAACTGAATTGGAGCTGAGGTGTTCTTGAGAAGCTGATAGTCGCTCAGCTAGTCAATAATAAGTTGTCTGTGAAATTCCTTTTATATAAATGCGTAAGTATAATAAAATCTTTGGCACCATCTTAGTAAATTACAAGCCAAAATGTTTATTTTGTATAAACAATAGTAGACATATAAGGAGGTGTATGCTGGCAAAGGTATGTATGTAAAATGTGTGTCAATAAGATCTGAAACTTTCATGCTGTAAAAAAGTAAGTTTTGGGAATTTAAATTTTGGACCTCCCATACATAAGGAACACTCTGTTTTGTAGACATTTCTATCTTGAAGCAATAATCACACTCTGCTTAGAGTCACAGTATGGTCTTTTAGCTAGATGTGCATAACACCTTGTCAGGAAAGCATAAAACTCTGGGTTGAGCTTTTATGATGTTTGTTGAAGACTCTCTGAACAGAGAGTACTGTTTGCTTGTGTAGCTGACAGCAGTTTGCTGTTCCTCCTGCCAACACAGTGGTGGAAAGAGATGGGATAAGTTTCTTGATGTTGCTAATGTCAACAACTCTGTGTGTTACAGTCTGAACCTAAATCACGTATGTTAGAATTTTGATTCTGAAATGTGCGCTTTTATGAAATGTAATTGAAAATTATTTGAACATAAATTAAATTTATTTTGCACGGTCAGAAGGTAGTGAGAAAATTGAGATACGTTTGGTGTGCATTGAATTGGAAGAGTAAGAGGCAGTTTATTTTGTTTCAATTGTGAGAAGAATGAATGAGATGTGGAAGAAATAAACAATTTAAGTTTTATCACTAATTCTTTCTTGTATCTATACTCTCTGTAAACGAATGATTTGTAATGACAATTTTAGGAACTATTTGAATAAAATTACCAATTGTATTTAACTGTGTCTTTGCATAACCATAAGGATAGTACATTAAGTGATGGTGTGTTGGTCTGGAGCACATAATGAGCTGAGAATGCAGTTTACATTTTGGCCTGCTATGAAAAGGAAGGCACTTTCATTTGCAGCCTTGTTGTTTCTTTGTGCCATCAGTTGAGGAGGAAGTAATTTATAAGCACAAAAAGTGGTGAGGTCAGGAAGGGGACTGTAGAGGGAAAGTGTGTGAGATGGGGCACTCTTGGCTGGGATTCTACCTACCTGTCTTAAAAAGAAAGATGTCAGACTAACAGGAAGGAAATAACGTTCAGCCAGTTAGGTACATAAGCACTTCATTAATTCCATTCATTTATAAAAAGTGTTCTGCTATTTTTTAGCATTCATTAAGACCCCTATTAATGTTTATAAATATGCTAGATAACAATTTTAGAAAAGAAAAGTACTTTTAGAATTCACATATTAAAATTGCTTAAAAGTTCTTAGTGATATCAATGATGCTGGAATCCCTAATACTTACATTTGATGATATTAAAAAGTACTAGAATTTGGCAGTTTTATTTTAAATTGTGGTGTATAGATGCCCAACAGAAAATAAGGGCATTAGTATCCACTGTATTTCTTTCATTCTTTCTTGTTTTTCTGTGGTTACTTGTTTTTGTCAAATTATATCATAATATTAAAGATTACATCAAGGTCTTTCAGTGTGATCTAAGCATATCAGTGACAGAGTACACAAATAAAGCAAACCATTTTTATACAACAATTACTTCAAAGCACCGAGCTTGCTATTTTTCTTAATTCAGTCATAAGTTTGTATCCTGCCAAGTTATAAAGGTTATGGATTTCCAGTATCATCTCTGCACTTATTCTATTCCTTTCATACAAAAAATTCTGCTCAGCAACTGGCTACTGGAGAGGACATGTTCAAGTTGTAATCCAGTCAATTGGGAGTCCTATTTAATGTTTGTCTTGGTGAAAAAGGGACTGATTTATAGATAAAATGCCTATTTTTAACATTAAAATGGATTACATTTTTCTGTTGAATGAATCGACCAAAGTGATGAAATATTTTTTCATACATACTTGGGTATGATTTAACAACTTATATGAGCTTCATTTAATCCATAGATGTGTTGAATTTTGCAAGGTTTTTAAATCACTATATTTTGAAACATTCAGATAAGTTTAATTATGAGTACACTTTATTATTTTTTGTTCTTTTTCACTGTTCTAATATATCAGAAGTTTCTCTGTAATCTTTTTGGTTAATTGTGGAGATCTGGCTCACATTTCTGCTCCTATTATTTTTTTGTCTCAGCTTCCCAGAGTCCTTGTCTTACTACTGTACTACAGATTTAATTCCACAAATTAATCTAATATTCAACCAGTGCTACAAATCACTTAATAGATCAGGAAATATTTTTTATGCATTGAATGCATCATACTGAGTGAAGAAATTCAGAAATTAGTGTAAGATTTGTTATGACACTTTGCCCTGCATTATTATTATTTAGAAATTAACATCAGTTTCTGTTGTGTTACAGTGAGGAAGTGGAACGGTGTCAGAAGTGGAGCAGCAACATCACCCAGCAGATAGATTTAGCCTTCAATATATTTTTTATGGTGTACTTTTTTATACGAGTAAGTACAACTAAAATTTATTGCTGTATGGATATATTATTGGTATTTAGAATAATTTAATTTTTATAATATGTTTTACTTTCAGTTTCCTTGACTAAAATCTTTATAATTACAATGATTTCTTGTTAATGAAAATATATTACAAATGCATTAATATAAATTTTAAAAAAATATTTTTTTTTAATTTTCAGTTCCTGTAATCACTATTTTTCTTCAATTGTTGGTTTTTTTATCTTATCAATTATCTGATGTTATAAGACACAATGTTTCAAGGACTGAATCTGTCCTTGTCCTCGGGTTTAGTGAAGGGGGTTCCTACTCTGTATAATATTTCACACTGTTTCTTGTTGCAGTTTATAGCAGCAAGTGACAAACTGTGGTTTATGCTGGAGATGTATTCGTTTGTAGACTACTTCACGATTCCTCCTTCCTTTGTCTCAATATACTTGGATAGAACATGGATAGGTATGCATATTCCCAACATATATGTCATATTGTTATGCATAATTACACCTATTACATTCATTAGTATCAAACGAAGTAACATGAAAGTTTACATATTTGTGCCCTTCTGACAAGGAATTTATTAAAATAAAATATATCCAATCTTTTTGGTGGGGGGGGGGGTCAATTGATACCAGTGTTCAGAGAAACATACTGTCTGTATCTTCTGGGCTGAAGACAGCATATTTACCAATAACATTGGTACCTACCTGTGAATCTATAGGAATTCACAACCTAGGGCAACATTGACATCTTGATTGCAGTGAGAACCTCAAATGTTGTATGGACAAGGTGATACCATAAGTTTGCCTTTGCATATAAAGTAAAGTAGCAGACTGAAAATGCTTTATTGACATACAAATATATGCACCGTACTTACATGAAAATCAGATTATAAAAAGATGCAGTATTTATCCTTTTACATCTCTTGCTCCAAGAATGTATAAAAAGGATTAGCTGTGATACCATTGCAGGCAGTGTTTTTTCACTATTTTTATATCCTTAAAATTGTCATAGAAATGGGATTTAGTGACTAGTTGAACTGAAGAATAAAATTGATTTTTATATCTTAAATTATAAAGATTCTTGCTACTGTACGAAACCAATCCTGAAATAATGTGGAATCATGTTTACCAAATGTTTGTAAGAAAAGCCCAAAATAGAAACAAATGCGTGCTTATATGATTGTTATGTTCTATAAGGCAAAACTTTTAGTAGGTGGAAAGAATTCCTTGAATTTTTTTGGTAGGATTCATGACTGAGAAATTGAATTAATTGTGAACGGTAGTTATCGACATCTACATAAGACTGCTATATAAATTGTTTGCAGTCCTATTGAATGTCCTGATTCTGTCTGAGATCAGCAAGTAATAAAATTCTTATTGTTGCCAGGTTTAAGATTTCTGAGAGCATTACGTTTGATGACAGTGCCAGACATTCTGCAGTACCTCAACATCCTCAAGACTTCGAGCTCAATCCGTCTCGCTCAGCTGGTGTCCATATTCATCTCTGTATGGCTTACAGCTGCTGGTATTATCCATTTAGTAAGTATTTAATAGAAACAGATCAGTCAGAGATGGTGGTCTGTTGGTACATTATACACTTTGATTAACATTGCACTAAAAGAAGTTTTATTCTATTTGTTTAAAATGTGGATACAATAAATTTTAACAATAGAAATTACTTTTTAAGAACTTGTATAGTTTGTGTCAGTAAAATACTTAGCATACAAAGTACTCTTTATTTAAAGGTTTTTGATGGTGTGTCATTAAACTGATGCCAATTCTTGGACACTTTCCTTTATCGTAGTGTAAATGGCACCACAATGTTTTGGAAGATGGCTTTTCTGAAATTGCCAAATGAATAACTTAACCTTTTGGTTCTGCTGAAAGCAGCTACTCCCCAGGGTTTGAGATTAGGTTTTCCAAAATCTTGAGACTGAGAATTATGCTACAGATGTCAGAATGAAAGTGGCTGTCTTCTGGATTGTAGCACTGTGTAGTCTGAGTTGAAAAGGATCTGGAAGATATTATGTGGTGGTCAATCTTAAAGGTATTAATCCCACGTTTTCCTGTATGTTGTGAGGAATATTATGAAAAGCCTCAGTCATGCTAGCGAATGCCCTTCTAAACATAAAACAGTACTCAGTGACATTCAGTCCCACTTCTGGTGTTCAGAATTGTGTGTTCTCTTCCAAAACACACTTTAGTGATTTACTCTTAAGTGAAGTGAAAATGGATAAACTTTTTCTTGCAGCTAGAGAATTCTGGAGATCCATTAGAATTTCAGAATCCACAGCAGTTATCATACTGGACTTGTGTATATTTCCTCATCGTGACTATGTCAACAGTGGGTTATGGTGATGTCTACTGTCAGACTGTTCTAGGACGTACATTCCTTGTATTTTTCCTCCTTGTCGGCTTGGTAAGTACACAAGACTTCTGGTTTTTTATATTATCTTTTTTAATCAGTTTGATTATTCAGTTTTATAACCTATTATCTGTTTAACAGTGATGTGTCAATAAGTAACTTATTTTATATGTACAATATATTACTTAAAATAGATCATAATTGTTATTAAGAAATAGAAGTTCTTGAAAATAAAGATCATAATTATCTTCTGAGTTTTTTGAAAACAGAAAACCATTGCAATAATATGGTAACTGTACCAGCTGGTTGAAACGCTGCATCACATGTAACACTGTTACTCTTAATTCTTCCTTGGTCACAAATTTAGAAACATATCATATCAATGTTCATTGATTAATGTAATTTTTATTACATTGTGTAGTGTAGTAATCTTTATTTTAATAGGATAATACTTAATTGGCACATCACAACCTGTGTAATATATTATGAGCCATTGAAATAGTGAATAAAAGTGTTCATATTGAGACATCTTAGAACAAAAGTTCTGTTCAAGAAATATCTAGTTTTCTGTATAGTTTGAATAGATAAGTCTGGTGCTAGAAATTGGAAATCATAAAAAAAATCTTGCTTAATAAACTAATGCCATAAAATAGTGGACAAGAAAGTATAGACAGGAAATGTAAAATCATTTGTTTGGAGGGAAGAAAATACAATACTAATGTATTAGAAAAAATTTTGTTTATGAAATTTGTGTAACTGATGTCTTCCAGGACTGATTGACTCTTGCTTTCCTGTAACGCAGTTGTAACTATGTTTTTTGTATGCTTGGCCATCACAGCAGGTCACTTCTGGACTGCTGCAATTTTTGTTATTGCCTCTACTTACTTTCCTTCAATGATTTGTATGTGATGGTGTGTTTCTGTGTCTCTAATACTAATCATACTATTCTCACCCAGCATAATGGAATGGCTGCTCTGATTAGAATAATCATGGTTTTTGAGGCTAACTCATTTTGCCATCACTACTGAGAACTTGTGTTTTTAAGTGTGACTGAAAGTATGGATTTGTATGTTCATGATGAGGTTCCACAATCCTGACAGGATATGCAAGAAACATGAAACAAAATTTTATGTTATCTGTTGGTCTGTATGTAAGGAAAGCAATTAATTTAGGTCTGAGCCATGCTTTTTTAACTGAATATGAAGTTCAAGGAATACAAAAGGTTGTGAATTTGAGAAAATGTATGTGTCCTGAAGCAACATAAATCACATCTTGTGAGTTGTTGGTCCTCTGAATAGAAAGTGTGTGTGAGTGCGCATGTGACAAACTAAAAGCATGACTGACTGTGAGAGGAAGTAACTGTGTTAATTATTGTTTGCTTGTTGGCGAAAAGAGGGAGAAGCAGCAACTTCATCAACATTGTTAATCCCTATTCTGTATACATGGTCTGGTAACGATGCTGACATTGATGCAGAGTGTGAAAAACCGTTGATCAACCATTGTGTGTTTGTGTTCATGTCTATTTGTTATGGTAACCCTGTGAAATATCACTCCCTGACAGATATAATAGCAATTCCGAAAGAGCTTGGTCTCTATGAATTTTTTAGATATTCTTTTACTAGGGATGTGTGGACAGTTCACTTTTCAAGTGTGAGTTTGAAATTTAAATTTATTTCTGATTTATTTATTAATGATGTTAGTAACTCAGATTATATAGCGTCAGTTTTAAATTTAAAGAAAACTACTATTATTGCCTGTCTTCATATACACAAAAGATTGGGGAAACTGGTTTTAATGCAATTTAATGTTGGCAGACTTTTTAAAAATACATTGATGAAATTTAGTTTTTGGTTATGTTGGGGAATTTTGTTTTTTTCACTTTACATAAAATTCATAATAAATTAAATTAAAACACAATGATACTTTTGAACCATATTTTAGATTATTTCCCATGTTTATTGCATTTAACAATATAATATGATATTCATAAAAATCTGTACTGGTCTTTTACATGGCATTTCAGAAGTTTCAGAGACATGTATAAACTATTTATTTCATGGGAGGGGGGTTTGTTGCATTAATTTGGTTACCTGCACAGCAAACTTCATATATTTCAATTGAAGTACAGGATAACCATGATTTAAATTAGAAGCAATATTAAAAAAATCAGTAATCAAGGTTCTTATTTACATCTGTCCTGCAAAGGGCAGTTAGCACAGTTTCATTCCATGCTAAATATAACTTGGCATATGCCAAGACACAGAGTTTTAAGGCATTCCCCCCAAAAGTACTTAAATAATTGCACAAAATTGTATAATTTGGTGGTATGCAGATTCAGTTACATTCATATCCATCACAAAGTGGTTTTCAGTTATTTTAATATGATAGGGGCATTATCTATACTTGGAAACAAATGTGTCTTGGCTTTTTAAGATGAAGAGTGCTTGCGGTCAAAATTAAGAGATATGCAAATTTTTTGAACTTTACTGAAAAAAATATTAATTTCAGAATTTTATGTGTAAATATCAGTGGCGTGCCATGCATGTAAGTAAGGGGAGCGTTGCTTTCACAGTTGAGAAACGATAAGAAAATAATTCATACAAGAATAATTCAAGTTGAATCTTCGTAAGAGTTCGTCCCACCCGAAGTATCTATAGGAAGCAATTTCAGGATTGTATTTGTGATCGTATTTTGAAGCATGTTAAACTCCAGAAAGTAAACGATCCGCGTGCAAGGGAACTATTTCCAATCTCGTGGTACAAGTGGCAGGGGAGTGATTAGACTACACGCAAAGCTAAAATGAACGTTGATAGAGAATCTTAATGGACTGTGCAATTGAACGCCTTTTAAAACGGGGCTTTAATAGTAGGGACTTTTCTGAAAAGAAAATAATTTCGAATGAGGACGACCGACATGCGAGTTGCCAGAACTTGAAGCACAAACCAAATCATGTGTGAGGAAATTTAGGTGAGTGCTATGAGGTTATGTTTATTAGATACCACTGTTTCCCTTACCGAAAATAGTGCCGCACGCCACTGGTAAGTATAACATAAAATGTAATTAACACAAATTGATCAATATTAAAATATATTAGTATTGGCACAAACATTTACAGAAGATTGAAAAATTGTATCATAACTAAAGCATAGCCTTACATTTGGTCCCATTACAATTTCAGGACCCTTTAAATAAAAGATGTCTGATTATTTGTCACAATAAAAATTACTTTGACAGTGTGGTATAAAACTGAAAAATAATATGCAGTGAAGGGCATAGGTAACCATTTCATTTTGTGTTATTGTTTCTTGTTTTCTTGTCCATATTTTCTATTTTTAAAATTCTTTGTATTGTTTAAGTAACATATAATTGTGTTACAATATATACAAGCAGATCAGTTTTGTATATAGTTCAATTAGACCCAATAGAGATAAGACTGTCTGTTTTATGTAACAACAGCCCAGACAGCAGAAGAACAGTTATTTTTACCTTGCACTGACATATATTAATTTTTTAAAGTAGTCATATTTTTACTGGACTTTATCATTGAAAGCGTTGGTTTTTAGTCTTTTTGGATTTGTGCAGTAACAAACTTCAATTCTCAGTTTGGAACAAATTTAACTGATCATTGGCAGTTACCTCTGGATTACCTGTGGAGAAACAATGCTTCAAATGACTGTTTAAAAAGCACTATTATAAAATGTAACTCATGGAATTAATATAAAAACTGACAGTTTGAAATTTATAAGCAGTATACTAAAAACGAATTCAAATGATTTACTTTTTTTTCTTTAATCATACATTGTGTGTTTATTTTTTACTTGAGAGAGAATTAGGAAGGGAAATTAATGTATTTAATTTGAGGCTAGTTAGGCCATTCGCCTTGACTTTATCGTAACATTTCCTTATTGCACAGTGTGCAGCATTTTTGAAGCAGCTGTTGTTAGGAGGTGCGGAGTATTCCTCTACATGCCTATAGAGTTAAAGTGATAGTAAAATTTTTATTTTCTTTGTGAAATTTCAGGGTCTCACAGCAATGAGTATGATGATGGCTGATGGCTGTCTTCTGGGATTTTACTCCATGTAGTATAGTAAATGATGACTGATGTTTTCAGAGTAGCTTACTGCTTTCATCATCAAGCTGCTCTGAAATATCAGTCAAAATATACTGGACTACACAGTGGAACTTTCCAGAAAACAGCCATCTTACTTTCCTTCAATTATATTTTTATTATCTTGTAAGAAGATCAGGATGAACAACCTTGGTTCATCTGATACATATATGTGTATATATGAATTTGTTTATTTGTTTATTTATTTATTTACACTGACAAGGAAGTTAGGAAGAGAGTGAGATGAGAGCTAGACATATCTTTCACAAGTTGGGTTATGATATTACCTTGCCTTTGTTTGTGGAGTTGAAAACACAACCAGAAATTGTTGCTGTCTTACGCATTTTCCTCTTTGTGTTTCCCGCTTGTTATTGCGTCGTCAGTATCTTTGTTATTGCTTATTTCCTGCTGCCACTGCTACAGTTACTGCTGTTGAAGCTTGGTATATGCTAAATGGGCCTAGAGATGGGCTGTGGGCCTGATGGGGAGTCACAGCTATGTTCATGACTTGCTTGAAGTTAATTGTAGTTTTCCATTGGCCTGATGTATTGGATTTTGCCTTCTTCCTTTCATGACTGAAGAAAACTTTGAGCCTTGTTATACATATTGTATTTGTATATATTGATATCTGTTAATATCTTTACATTTGTGAATCCAGATTTTTTTAAATTCATCTACTCTAAAATAATAATGTATCAGAATATTTTGCGGTCATGCTGAATCACATGAACCTTGGCGAGCATAATAATTTGGATGTTGTAAAATGTAATCAGTATCTAAATTTTAACTTATTCTAAATATAAATGGCAAAATTTAATGTATGTATCCAACATTTTAAAGGATGAGGGTTTAGTCGTGTCTTTTGCCTTCTACTCCTTACATCCCTGAGAAATGTTTGTTTGGAGAAACTATTTGCCAAATATGGAAACATGGCTCATTGTTATT